AGCCAGCCTCAGGCTCTTCACCGAAAGATCTTGTGGAGCATGAAAATGTTTTCTTCTGATTGTCATCCTATACTCCAGTGTCTTCTTTCTGCACAGACTCCAGACTTCTCGTGCTCAGAAAGCCATGGTAACGGTGGATGATATGTCATTCAGTCTTCCCATATTATATAGTAAGTAACACGAGAGCGCATTTATCTTTCCTATGGAAGCCATGTAGAACTTAATCATATTTCTTTAGTTGTCATGACTATTCAGTACAAAGTAGATAGGATATTCCACAGTGTAGCATACGGGTGGTTTATGACACTCCAACACTCAGGCAGATCATTCTTCCTGGTGGAGAATAATGTATATTGATCTCTGCTGTCCTACCCTGAAGCCTTGAGCAGATTGTAATAGCGTGCTCAGAAAGTTGTTCCCAGGGACTATCCCTTGTTTATTTTGTTCTCTAGCCAAAACCATAACTGTGATAATAAAGAGCATCAGTTTAAATACAAACACTTAATGTATGCCACAACTGGTCAATGTTTGAACTGTTTGTAATACGCTGATTTGTTTTTCTGTTTTAGTAAGTAAACTTAGTACAAATGTTTTCCCTCAAAAAGGAAGTAACACCAAGGAAGAAAGGCTGGAGTTGCCAGGTTGCCCACCCATGCACTGAAACATCCCCAAGCCTGTTCCACAGAGCCCTTACACCACCACACCATCAGTGCCTAGATAGGCAAGTACGGCACTTCAGCTAGGCAAAGACGTGGCCTGAGCACTGGTCAGGACCCCATGGGCTACTTCTCTGCACACTCCAAAGCTGCCAGAGTGGATCTACAATACAGGCCTTCTCTGAGGTATTAACAAAATCTTTATAGTTGCATAACTGTTATGGCCTTTCATGATGCCTCTCCGGTAAAAAGAAAACCAAAATCTTCTGCTTTCCCTCCTGTCCTTTGTTTATTCAACCCTGACTGGGGCTTGGATGTTTTTCTTTAAGTTAAAATGTATATAAAGAGTGATTTTATTAACATCTGTTATTTACTTTTCAGTGGGTCGTTAATTTTCATTAAATATTCACACCTAAATATATGTCTGAGGTGATTACACATAAAAAATTATAATTGAAACCTGACTCTTGCAGAGGGGAATAATTTTTGAGAATATTTTGCAAAAAAAGCTCATGATCTGATCTGTGAGGGGAGAAGGTGGAGGACACTGATCCTAGATTCAAAATAAAAATGATAATGTTAATGTTAAGATTATTATGTAGTGACATATATACCAGGCCAAATGAATGGGACAGGGCTGTATCATGTCTCTGCAAAACAGTATTCAAACTCTTCTTTCCCCATGGAGTGTGTTTCCAGATATATCCAAACCAGCATGCATCATATACCTCTATCCAAGCCTTCCTCTGTCAGCTTGGAGTTTCCTACAGCTTCCTTTCAAACTTCTCTTTGCTCCCTAATACCAGTTTGATCTTTCCATAGAGACAACCATGACCTGCTTTGACTCATGGACAGAGTTAATACAGCACCAAATGTAAAGTCAGATTACACATAACTATAGGCTGGCTTCTTGAGTCTGATGGCCAGGTGAGAAGTACCTGAAACACCTGTGCCACAGACAACATTTCTAGATGACAGGGTTTTTATTCAAGAGAAGCATCATGGGAGTACAAATGCCCCTCTAAAAACCACTCACCTCAGGTTATTTTGGCAGTTTTTTGAGGTGGTGAACCTGAAGAAAAGGAACCCAGAATTCACAAAGCAATTTATTGCTGAAATCTACAGAAAGAGCTGATACATAAGAGAGGTAAACTGCAGGGAGAACACCATTTCCTCTCCGTGCACCACACTATTAAAGACATATTTCTCTTTTGGAGTTGTGCAGTAAACACCCTGATAATGTGTTTGCTATTTATTCTGCCCACCTGCTCTGTGCACCTTTCTCTCTCTGGCAGACCCTTACATGTGGCCCTAGTTGTTTCCCCATCATTAACCTGTTCCAAAGTATGGAAGTGTGATTGATCTTGGTGCTGAAATCACAGTCAGACTGCTTAGTAAAGAAACAAGGACTTCAAAACAATTTAAAAGGATTTATGGACACGTGTCTGTGATATCCGTCTCCCGAGGTTACATGTACTGACCTCGCCAGTCATCAAAGCCCTCCCCTGCGCTCGCACACTACATGCTCCTTTTGAAGGGAGGGGTGGAGGGATGCTTTCCGTGTATTGTAAGAATCATCTGCTTTGGGATTTCTGTGAATTTTAGAGATGAGAGGATATAGCACTGAAAAATAAAGTGTGAGCATTGCTGTCTCCTTGAGAGCACAATTAACCTTCATACTTACACTCTGAAATAAAACTAGTTACACCCACAGAAAAAATGCAGTCACAAGCAGAGCTGGGACCACATGTTCAGTGTGCACCTGAGCTGAAGATTCTCCTGGCAAAGCCCAAATTCTGTACTGGTTGTTGTTGAATCAGCTGATATCATAGGCCCAGTGTGAATATCAGAGGAGTTGAGGTCAACTCCATGCATCTGCCCAAACTCATCCATTTCTATTCAGCTAAGTACTTCTCAGCACAAGTCATCCTCTGCTGTTACTCCTTACTGAGCCATCATGCAGCCACGCATAAAACTTCAGCGCTTGCATTCAAGATCCCACAGAGCTCTGGTTTCAGCCAGGAGAAACGAATGGTCCCATAGGATTTTGTTTTTCACTGTTATGGTTTATTTTAAATGAAACAAACTCAGAAATACACTGTGCTTTGTGGTGGAAGAAGTCTCACATACCTTTTTCAAGTAATGTCAACAAAAACTGTCAAAGTCCTGTTTCATAATATTTACAAAGTAGTTGATCCAGACAGTAAAGGCACAATTCCTCTATATGAAGAGAGAGACTTTCTCGCACAGTTCTTGAGTGAACAAACATTCAGGGAGTCCTGAAGTTACAGGCAACATCTGACTCATTATCTCTCACATCCATAGAGTAAATAAGGGCTGTAACGACTCTCCTAATAGTGCCCTATGTTATGTTTGGTCACACAATCAGGTCTGTGGTTCACAGGTTAGAAGGGTGCCCTCATGGCAAATCAGGTAACATCTGCGTTAGCTCGCTTCACCAAAATACAAGCTCAGTGTTTTGTGTATAGAAACATACTGTTCCTTCATGCTTATTTTGTTTAAATCAGCCTATTAATTTTTCTACTATGCAGTCATTCTCAAGACGAGCATGACCTCAGTCTTTCATTATTTAATGACTTTTCCTTTGTGGGAAAACGTACAGCTCTTCCATGCTCCTCATCACTTTTGGAAAAGGACCAACTTCATGAGTTCCTTGACTGGATGAGGAGGGGAAAAAGGAAGAAAGAAGCTTCTTCACTGCTTTTTAGGGACTGAACTGTAGTCTTTCTTTCTTCAGGCTGGAGAAACTCCAGATCATTTCTATCAGCACAAATGATGATCCCTGAATGGCATGCTCTTGTAAATGCAAACAGTGGCACAGCAGGTTGTTTAACCTCCGCCTGAATCATAATTTCTTAGACAGTGAGGTGCTACCCTCTCCAAAGCAGCTGCAGAGCATTAGGAGAAACAGGGCAGATTGAAGCAACAGTAATAATCTCATATTTCCCATTGCTACTTATCACCAGAGAAGTGTTCCTATGTATCTGTACCGGGACACATTTCTCTTGGGGGCAGAAAGCTTTAGTGTACGTTTCCAGTGAAACAATTAGTAAAAGGCAGCCTGAAAGCATAATTTTGACCTCCGCATTTAAAGCTTATTTCCCTGTCAGGCTCAGAGGCCGAGTGAAGCCGCTGGGCGAGACCAGCTGTAAGACTGCCGGGCGAACCCTGCCGGTTTCAGCAGGTGGGGGCGGATGGGGCCCGGGTTCCGCTCAGGCGGGCCGCTGCTGCCTGCAGCACGAGCAGGGCCTGGCCCGGCTGCCTGCCCTGCCCGCAGGGGAGACCCGGGGAGCCCGAGCGGCTGCTGCGGCCGCCGAGGCCCTGGGGCTCGTGGGCAGGGCTGGCACCGGTCAGGCTCAGCAGCAGGCACTGCTCCCAGATTTCCCACCCGACCTCTTCCCTTGCCCAAGCACCGCTCCCTCCCCTGCCCTTCCTTCCCGCTGGCGGGAGCAGCCAGCCCCAGCCCAGCCTCGACGCCTTGCTCCATTTTGCCTGAATGTGAAGCAATTGCTCCAAAAGAGCAGGAGCTGAGGAGGACAGTGGGGCCCCCCCATGGTTCGGACCGTGGTGGGACCCATCATAGGTGGCTTCACGCAGGCAGGTCACCCTCACACGGGCGGGTCACCCTATCAAGGTGCTCGAGTTGGATTTTAACACCTGCAGGAATTTGCATGCCTGTTGCTCTCTCCACCCAGCAAGCGGTTCTCCTTACGCGTAACTGCACATCGCCCGCGGAGGCAGCTGCCCACAGCCTGGACAGGCCCAAGGGGCAGAACGAGCCATCGGGCCACGCAAGGGAGCAGAGACCATGTCAAGGTGGCAGCGTCGAGCGGGACCACGGGGCTGCCACACGCACCACTGGTGTGACAGGCTCCACTCAAAGGCAAACCCAGTGCCCCACTCGCCCGTGGTTCGGGGGCTGCCCTCTGCCCCAGGACCCCGGGTCGGGCATGGCCCCCCGCCTGCCCTGCTTTTCCCCAAGGGGCCCGACCCTTTCCGCCCTGTCAGCTTTCCAGTGGGAAAAACCGGCTCGGGGGCAGCCGCCGGCCGGTTCGGGCAGGGGACTGGGAAGTGGGGCTGCGCCCCTAGTGCCCCGGCCATGGGGGGGGGGGGGGCGGCGGCCGCCCCTCCGCCTGCGCGCAGCCCCGCTCCTCCGGCCGGGGGGGGGGAAGAGCGGGGCGGGGGGCCGGGAGGGAGCGGGGCCGGGGCCGGCCGGGCGGGGGTGGAGGGGAGCGGCGCCTCGGCCGGAGGGGGGTGCGGAGCCGCCGTGGAGGGCGGAAACGGGGTGGGGGGGGATTTGCGTCAGTGAGGGAGCTGGGAGCGGGCGGGACGGACGGACGGACGGAGGGACAGACGGACGGAGAGAGCCCGCGGAGAGGCACCGGCCGCTCCCGCTTGCCCGCCGCCGCTGCCCCTCGCCCCCATGGAGCTGTGCCCGGGCTCCGCGGCGCCCTCGGGCTGGGCGCTGCCGCTCCTCCTCGCCCTGGGCGCCGGGCTCAGCCACGCCACCCCGCACCTGCGGTACACCCGGCCGGGCTCCCGCAGCAAGTGAGTACCGCCCGCCCCGGAGGGGGCCGCGGGAGCCGCTGCCGGCGGCGGGGCGAGCCGGGGCAGCCCGGGGTGCCGGGGCGGTGGGTGGGCCCCCGCATGCCGCTGCCCGTCCCTGACGGCCGTTGTCTTCCCCCCCCCCCCCCCCCCGCAGGAACTGGTGCGCCTACATCGTGAACAGGAACGTGAGCTGCTCGGTGCTGGACGGGACGGAGAGCTACGTCCAGGCCCAGTACAAGTGCGCCTGGAACCAGTTCCCCTGCCAGCCCACCCCCGTGTAAGTAGCCGAGGAGGGAAAGCGGCTTGGCCACCCACTGCCGAGGAGAAGCGGTCGCTGCAGCTGCGCTCGGGCCCTTCCCAGCACCCCAAAAAAAAGCGTGTGGCAAGTGCAGGAGGGGGCGCACCGCCGTTCTGCTCCCCGGCGCGCCCCGAACAAAGCGCTCTCTCTCTTATTGCAAACATAAGGCTGCCGAAGCTAATTAAAGCCAGATTGAGCGCGTTGTTGGTCCCTACAGCCCGTCCGCTGCGCTCAGCTGAAAGGGGGCCGCGCTGGCTCGCCTCGCCTCGCCTCGCCTCTCCGCGCAGCGCGGTGGGGCTCGCAAGGCGGGCGGTGGGCACGCAGGCCGCTTTCGGCGGGCGGTGGGAGCGCCAGCGCCTGCTGGGGGCACACCTACGCACCCAGGTACAGATTTGCCCGGCTACGGCGGCGCTCAGAAGCGGTTTTATAGTTGCTCTGTGTTGCTGGGTCAGTGCGTAACAGCGAGGGAGAGCCAGGAACGTGAGCCAGAACATTTGCAATCTGTGTATCCCTGTCAGTTGTCCAGCAAGGAGAGCAGCCAGTGCGGAGGTTTTTTTTTTTTTTTTTTTGCAGGGGGTAATTCAGAGTTATTTGTTTGAGTTGAAGCTTCATGCTGTTGAGTGTGACCGCGTGGTGGTCTGTAGTGTGACCACCTGCGGCGCGGTGTGCTGTCTCGAGGCTGTGTGAGCCCACAGGTACAGCTGGAGTCAGGGAACAGCTGGATCTCACTTACCTCCTGGCTAATATCAGACAAATCCCCTTTCCTCAGTTCCCCACTCGAAAAGCGGTGATATTTGCACACTTCTCTGTGAAAGCTGTAGGTGATGAGCACTGTGAAACCATTTCATCTCCCCCAGAAGTCAGTGGAAGGACATCCATAGATTTTCATGGGATTAGGTTCAGAGTTGGGCTGAGGTGATGATGAGGATTCTTTTACAACAAAGAATAACTAGTTTGTAGTTTGACATGAAACAGGATGAGGCTGATGCTGCTAGGTCCTAGGTGCTACTAAAATAAGACTGCAAACATCAATGATGCTGCTGCCCTGGGGTCTGTGACAGTAGGTGTTGGGCACTTGGCATTCAAGTGCACTGTTTTCTGTTTGTTTGGATTGTTATTTTTGTTAAAAAAAAAAACAACTTTACTCTATTGAATATATAAACACTGGAATCTGAGGGAAATAACAAAGACAGCAGACAGCTGAGTAACACCGTCTTGTGTAATTTCCCTTGTTCCTCTTTGGAGTGTCAAACTGGCCATTTTGGACTTCTGACTGAGTTTATGGGCTGTGTAATGGGGTGTGCCCTCTGTTGTGTGGAGTCTTAATGTGGGAGCTACAGAGGAGTGAGGAGGGGTTGAAACTGAGCTCTTTGAACACATACATCACCAAGCATTAAGATAAGGAATTTCAGGGGTAGTAAATGAGGATTTCCTTGAACTATCTGCTAGTAGGTAATGAAGAAAGTGCAAAGGCATTGCTTCTAGCTCAGGAAATTCCTGAACCAAGAACTGCTTGAGCGGGTGAGATCTTTGACAGGAATCAGAAGGGGAAGCCCAGCTTCAGCAGGGGGGGGCTGGACTGGGTGACCTCCAGAAGTCCCATCCCTTCCAAATTACTCTGTGGTTCTGTGAAATGGCATTGTCTGTCCTTGTGCTTCTAAACATCTGGAGTTGGCTGCTGTCAGAACGAGAATATGGGACTAAACAGACGTTTGGTCTCGCCTGCTATGGCCGATCTCATGGGATTTTTTTGTTCTTTTGAGAATGGAATTACATACTTATCATAACCTTTTGTTTCTTCAATTTGACTTTCTTTGGTGAACATCACTGTTACTTTCTTCGTAACTGTAATGGCAACTGCAAAATAATTCCTTATTCTTGACACAAAATATTTTAGGTACTTATTACAGCATCAGCTGATTAACACTGAAAGCAGCTGGAATATCAAAAACTTGAAATTTTATTGTGTTCAAAACTCTCTGTTTATAGGCTGTGACTTTTATTGCTCTGTCTGTTGCTGGTATACACATTCTCTTAGTGGTAGAGTAAGAAAGGAAGTAACCCAATGCATTTGAAATATACAGTTCAGTCCTGCAAAATCCGGCAAACCCCTAACTTTATTCCTGTGAAAAGTATTGTTTAATTCCATAGAAGTAGTGGTCTGAATAACAAAATGTGTTTATAAAAGTTTCTTAGCTAATGTTGACAAAAATAGGACAGGAAAGGGCTATAAAAGCAACAAAGAAATGACTGTGAGGACTTCTCTGAAATTATTCTATTTTTTCCATTATACTCTTACATAGAGAGGTCAAAAATGAACTAAATGGCAGATATTCATTGCAATAAACTACAGTCCCTGTATAGTTTCTTCCTGATACCCATGGTTCATCTAAGAGCTCATTCTGCTGCAGACAGTGGGGACAGTGAGATCTAAATCAAACAGAGTTTGTTAACTGTATCATAGATGTGTGGGTTTTATTAGTACTTCAGTACTATTAGGGATTTTTTTATTGGTCAGTGGATTTACTGTTGATTTAAATTAGTTTAAGACTAGTTTAAAGAGCCTTTCCAGTGTTTAGGTACAGTCTAGGTTATGCATAACAATTACTTAAATTAAAAAGCTCACTTTATTTTATATGGGAGTGTTTAATTGCCTTATACATACAGTGTACTCCTGAATTCCACGTTCTTCACATACAAGAGAGTGTGTATTGCAGCTGTGGATTATAGTTAGCACTGATTTTTGTTGATTTTTTTTTTTTTTAATTTTTTTTAGAAATAAAATCATATGCGTGCATGAATCTTTTTTTATCTACCATTCAGGTACATTAAAATATCTGTTACCTGAAAAAAACCACCGCTGTTGGAACAACTGCACTTCTAGGAGTGTTAACTGTAATTTCAGTTTGGCTTCAGGGTTTATTTCCTGAAATGTTTGTTGAAATTCAGGAAATTATTACACTTCACTGTTCAACTGTTTTATAGGTATTTAAGCTTGATAGTGCACTTCCGCACTGAAAAGTAAGTGAATGCTTTGGCTGATTACGGTGTCAAGGATAAATGTGAGTTGAAGTGTGGCTGCTTAAGAGATAGAAAGAGAGGGAGTATAAAGAAAAAGCAGAAGGGCCCTTTGAAGTATGTTCCCTTTGAAGTATGGGGGGCTCCCGATTTATTTTTCTTAAAACTGTGACTAGCAAAGGAGAGGGGAACTTTGTTATTAATGGGTCATTAGACTGAAGGATACTTATACAAAAATATTAGTGTTTTTACCCACTAAAAAGAACTTGTATGTTTTGAAATTTAATATTGCTTCATAATTAACTGACCCTTCCCCACTTCTTTTGTTGTGAATTTCCTTTCCTGGCTTTCTTATGAGTGATTTAGTAACTTAATTAGCATTATTAGCAATTTGTAGCTAATAGTCTTGTCTGATTTTAAAGAAAAATGTATTGCCCTTCTGGCTAGATCCTACACACTCTTCAGGGTTGTGGTTTCTCTTGGACATCCTCTGGTCAATGTAGCCACTTCAGGGTAGGATGTTGTTATATAAGTTGTTTGTTTTGCCTCTTATGCTGTAGAGTATGTTGGGACACCTGGCTGTAACACAGGTGCTCCAGTTTATGGCCCAGCATTTTTGGGCAAAGCCACTTTCACTAGTAAGGTTTTAGTTTTAAAGTTTGAAGTGAATTGAAGCAGTTGAAGCAGAGGGATGTTTTCTGGCTTTCCATCTTTGCTACAGAACCGGCAAATGGGACTTCCCTGTATGAGGTAGTAAATCAAACAGGAAAAAATTTAGATTGGGAAGAACCTCTGGAGGTCATGTAACCCTCTGAAACCCCCAGCTAACAGCAGAGCCAGCTTCAAAGTTCGATCAAGTTGCCCAGGATGTTTTATCATCATGGGTAATGTTCAATCAAGTAGAAGAAAGGATATTTTATCAGATCCCCTAATTCAAGTACCAGCCCCCATTGACACTGCTCATGTGAGTAAAGATATTTGTGTAATCAAGTGTGTAACGAGTCAGGTCCTTAGCTTGTGGAGAGTGGATTTCATGATTAAGTGTAGGCGTCTCATCTTAACACTAATGTTAAACGTGTAATGAGCAAATCCGTTATTTCACTAGGTTGCGCATACTTAGAAAATGGTCAGGAAAATGATGAATGAATCAATAGCTAAATTAGCAAGCTGCTTCAAATCTCTCATTGAGCAATACTTTCCAACTTCTTCTCATTTCATACTTCTGAATGACTGTAAATAAGCCCACTGCCAATCTAATAATGGTTTTAATCATTGCCAAGAGGAAGATTTAAGGCAAAAGATTGAAATAACTTTAGAGACTGTTACTGCTAGTTTTCTGTAATCATAAATATCAGGATATATGACTATACTTATGAGTAACACACAGCTTTTAATAAGCAGTATTCAATTTTTATTAATAAAATAATATTGAGTAAAAGTGGAAATTTTATTACTCAAAAACAGCATATCAGACTTCCAGTTCATTTGAATTACTTAATCAATTTACCATTTTCTGGCAACCCCAAACAACCTGGGTGGAGCTTGTCAGCCCCAGTCTAGGAACATGTAGGAAATCCACACGTAGTTTTCAGCCCTTCAACAGTCGCAATGTGGTTTTCTCTGAGACTGTTCAGTCTCCGAGAAATTAAGCATACAGGCCAGCGTCAGCATGCTCAGCACCAGGCAGGGTCAAACCTAAGATATACATGTCAGCGCAGATCGAAGCCCATGTTTGCCAGTGGCTTCTAGCAATGCATATCTCATAAGAAAAACTTCCAGGATGCACAAAACCTTGAAGGGGAAGTGAGAGCTCTTTAATGTTTCCCCTCCAAATATCTAGAAAGGTCTTTAGGACTTTTTTTTTTTCCTAGTTAGTGTATTTTGTATGAAGCAGAATTTCTTTGTACAGGCTCCAGCTAGCTGACTGCATAGGGAGGTTAGCCTAAGGGGTTGTGCATTGA